AGCCTGACCAACGTGAAGAAACCCCCGTCTCTATTAAAAATATGAAAATTAGCCAGGCATGGTTTCAGGCGCCTGTAATCCCAACTACTCAGGAGGCTGAGGCTGTAGAATCGCTTGAACCCAGGAGGCAGAGGTTGCAGTGAGCTGAGATCACACCATTGCACTCCAGCCTGGGTGACGAGCAAAACTCTGTCTCACAAAAAAAGAAAAGCCAACTGGCTGAAAGGATTAAAAAAGAAAATATGATCCATCAATGTGCTATCTACAAGATAAACATTTTAAATTAAAATAAACAGATTGAAAGTAAAAGGATACAAAGATACAACATTTAAATAGTAAGCAAAAAACCCCTGAAGTGGCTGTACTAATATTAAGTGAAATACACTTTAATTTAAAGCAGGGCTGGGCATGGTGGCTCACGCCTGTAATCCCAGCACTTCGGGAGGTGGAGGCAGAGAGATTACTTGAGCCCTGAAGTCAAGATCAGCCTGGGCAACATGGCATAATCCCATTTCTACAAAAAATACAAAAATTAGGCAGGCATGGTGGTGCTCACCTGTGGTCCCAGCTGTTTGGAAGGCTGAGGGGGGAGGATCATGTGAGCTGGGGAGGTCGAGGCTGCAGTGAGCTAAGATCAGGCTCCTGCACTCCAACCTGGGCAACACAGTGAGACCCTGTCTCAAAATAAAAAAAATAAAAAAGGGTTGAGATGCAAAAAAGGACATCATTTTTTATTTTTTATTTTGTTGGGATGGAGTTTTGCTCTTGTTGCCAAGGCTGGATGGAGTGCAATCGGGTGATCTCGGCTCACTGCGACCTCTGCCTCCTGGGTTCAAGTGATTCTCCTGCCTCAGGCTCCCAAGTAGCTGGCATTACATGTGCATGCCATCACTCCTGGCTAATTTTTGTATTTTTGGTAGAGACGGGGTTTCATCTTGTTGGCCAGGCTGGGTTCGAACTCCTGACCTCAGGTTATCCGCCTGCCTTGGCCTCCCAAAGTGCTGGGATTACAGACGTGAGCCACCGTACTGGCCAAAACCTTCATTTTCAAAAAGGCTGGGTCAGGCATCATGGCTCATGCCTATAATCCCACCACTTTGAGAGGCCAACACCCATCTCTACCAAAAATACAAACATTAGCTAGGCATGGTGGCATGCACCTGTAATCCCAGCTACTTGGGAGGCTGAGTCAGGAGAATTGCTTGAACCCAGGAAGCGGAGGTTGCAGTGAGCAGAGATCGTGCCACTCCACTGCAACCTGGGGGACAGAGAGCGACTCTATCTCAAAAAATAAATAAATAAAGGCTGGGTGCCAGCTGTGGTACATAGGCCTAGTTTGGTGACTCCTGTACTTAAGATATAAAACGGAAGAACAGTGGGCGGGAGCTTCCCTCTAAAGGCACAGGACGGGCAAGCTGGTCCCTGAGCAGTGACTTTATAATAACTTGTTACACTGTGTTTTTTCTTTTGTTTTGTTTTTCCTTCGGTTGGTTGGTTGCTTGAGATGGAGTTTGGCTCTTGTTGCCCAGGCTGAAATGCAATGGTGTGACTCAGCTCACCGCAACCTCCGCCTCCTGGGTTCAAGCGATTCTCCTGCCTCAGCCTCCCAACTAGCTGGGATTACAGTCATGCACCACCACACCTGACTAATTTTGTATTTTTAGTAGGGATGGGGTTTCTCCATGTTTGTCAGGCTGGTCTCGAACTCCCAACCTCAGGTGATCAGCCCGCCTTGGCCTCCCAAAGTGCTGAGATTACAGGCATGAGCCACCGCACCCAGGCTTTTTGGGTTTTTTTCGACAGTCTGGCTCGGTCGCCCAGGCTGGAGTGCAGTGGCGCGATCTCAGCTCACTGCAACCTCTGCCGCCTGAGTTCAAGCACTTCTCCCACCTCAGCCTCCCGAGTAGCTGGGATTACAGGTGCACACCACCACGCCCAGCTAATTTTTGTATTTTTTTTTTTTTTTTTCTGAGACAGAGTCTTGCTCTGTCACCCAGGCTGGAGTGCAGTGGTGCTATCTTAGCTCACTGCAAGCTCCGCCTCGTGGGTTCGCACCATTCTCCTGCCTCAGCTTCCCGAGTAGCTGGGACTGTAGGTGCCCACCACCATGCCTGGCTAATTTTTTTTTTTGTTTGTTTGTTTGTTTGTTTTTTAGTAGAGATGGGGTTTCACTGTTTTAGCCAGGATGGTCTCGATCTCCTGACCTCCTGATCCACCTGCCTCGGCCTCCCAAAGTGCTGGGATTACAGGCATGAGCCATCGTGTCCAGACTAATTTTTGTATTTTTAATAGAGACGGGGTTTCACCATGTTGGCCAGGCTGGTCTCACACTCCTGATCTCAGGTGATCTGCCCGCCTTTGCCTCCCAAACTGTTGGGATTACAGGCATGAGCCACCGATTTCAGCCAGCTGCCTGATAACACTTGCACAAAATGAACCTGTTACTTCATTTTTCCCCACTGCCAATCACCTTCCCCCACATTTTAGACCATCACACTTCCCTAACCTAGAAATAGCCCTCAGCCTTATCTCCAGGGAGATAAGGATTTGAGCGCTGTTCTCCCACCTCCTCACTTGGCGGTCTTGTGAATCTATCTTTTTTCTTTTGCAAAACCCGTGTCACAGTGATAGATTTGCTGTGTACAGGCAGAATGGACCTCAACCTGGCCAGTGACACTGGACAGCCACGGCCGCCTCCAGACAGCAACTGCTGGCTCTTTCCTTCTGCCTTCCAAGTCACACATAAACACCCCTTTTGGCCAACTCTTCCTCTGGGAGGCTTCTCCTCAAGGGGCACCAGCACTGATGGGGAAGCCAGAGACAGGCAGCTCAGGATGGGGATGAAAAGCCAGGAATGCGGAGGCCGACTTCAGCTTGGCCCTGCTCCGTTGGTTAGAGAGGCTGGAGCCCAGGGCATCAGCCACAGGTCTTGGGACAAACCCTTGGCCCAGGAAAACAGAGCTGGATGAATCCTTGAACACCACGAGATCCACCGTCTCACTCCCCAGACAGGAAAGTCAGGCTCTGACTCCTGCTGTGGATTGCCGCAGGTCCCGGGCCGCTAACTCCCTTCTCTCTGGCCAGCACCACTGCAGCCTGGGCCTCAGCTGGTGGAGAGAACTGGGCTCACCCACCGCCAAGGGAACTGCAAAAAGGGCACACGGCAGTCCTGGGCAGAGCCCCGGGCCAGGACGTCAGCCAGTTGCACAGCAGGGAGGGCACCTGCCCATCTCCACAGTCATCCTCCTCCTGGGCACCCTTACCAAAAGGCACTCCTCGAAACAAAATAAGGCCAGGCACCGTGGCTCATGCCTGTAATCCCAGCACTTTGGGAGGCCAAGGCGGGCAGAGGACGAGGTCAGGAGATCGAGTGATTCCACTTTTCTTCTCTAGTAAGTTTGGACATTCAGATCTAGTTGGTCTTTTATCATAGAACTTCTAGTGTGCCTGAGTCTTACATTGTGAAGATCCTTTTCTACAATATTACGTGTAAGAGGATATAAATGATCCTGGATGAGATCAGGCTGGATGAGAACTGATACTTGTAAACATACTTTTTAGACGAAATCTCTGATTGCCATTCACTTTCTATTTGAACTCGTAAAAAGAAAACACATTGGCTGGAGGGTGGAAGTAGGAAGGAGATTTATGTCTTTTAATCGCATGTCACTGTTTCATATCGAGATAGAACATATAGTATCCCTGGCTTTGGACCTACAGAAGGAAACACATTTTTCTACCTGCTGTATGCCAGCGGTTCCTGAACACCTGGAGGGCTTATTGCAGCCTGGATTGCTGGTCCCTACTCCAGAGTTTCTGATTCATGATGTCTAGGGTGGGCCTGAGAATTTACATCTATAAGACATTCCCAGGTGCTCCTGGTTCAGAGACTCTATTTTTGAGAACCACTCTTATCTACTAACTCCAAATTGTAGAACTTTAGAAAAAAGCTTAATTTGGTCTGGGATAAGAAGCACACAGATAATGGAGCAAATCATGAAAAAGTCAATCCTTGATCCCAGGTAGCAAGCACTACACAGTGACAGAACACAACTCTTGGTTTTCATGATTGCAAGTCATAGCCAAGTATCAAGTGAGAAATGCAGTTTCATTTTCAGGGCTTACAGAGGCCAGGTGATTCTAGAAAAATAGGATTTAGTGATTAAAGTCATGAGATTGGGACTTATTTTTGTACTTTTTCTCTCCTGCATCACTTAACATTTAGCCTTACTTTAGAGGGTCCTGTATTTGTTTTAAACTTGTAAAGAACTTTGAGTGCTTATTAAATGGAAAGTTTTCCACGTGTGTGTGTGTGTGTGTGTGTGTGTGTGTATGTATTTAGAAACAGAGTCTTGTTCTGTAGCCCAGGCTGAAGTGTAGTGGCATGATTTTGGCTCACTGCAACCTCCGCCTCCCAGGTTCAAGGGATTCTCCTGCCTCAGCCTCCCAAGTAGCTGGGATTACAGACACCTGCCACCATGCCCAGCTAGTTTTGTATTTTTAATAGAGACAGGGTTTCATCATGTTAGCCAAGCTGGTCTTGAACTCCTGAACTCAGGTGACCCACCAACCCCAGCATCCCAAAGTGCTGGGATTACAGGCGTGAGCCACCACACCTGGCTCACAAGCTTTATGTTTTTAAAGATATTAGACATGTTTCTTGTTTTCTTGTTTTTTTGTTTTGTATTTTTAGAAAAACAAAAAACCCTTAAGAATAATGTAGGGGAATAAGGAAAGTTTTTCCAAAAAAGAAAATCATTGTGATTATTTATCTTAGTGGAATGTTGGATAATATAGTCTGCTTTATCAATCATCAAGCACACTATAAAATTTCCATTTTAATAGGATTTGTACCTCAATTGAGGTAATACAGTTTTAAAGTTTTTAAAGTGAAAGCCAGCCCCGCCCCTCTCCTGGAGTGGGCGGGGACAGAGGTTACATGGCGGGTTTCCTTGTGACATCACAGGTTCTTCAGGACAGGCTGCTGTCTGGCCACGCCTCCTTTCCCTTGCATCTTTCTCATTGACCAATAGGTTTGAAGCATTAAGGCCACGCCCCTATTCTGCATTCTAGTGTGGCCCTGGTTACGCCTCCTCTGGCTCAGTCACACAGCTACCTGGTAGGTGACTGGAGGTGTATAGTTGTCCTCGCCTGGATTGTGCTGATGTGGCCCCAACCCCACCGCCCTACCCATCCCATGATGTCCGAAGAAACCCGACCGATCAAATTGGCCAAGGCCAAGGAAAAGGTAAAACGCACCAGGTTGTGGCACCCCAACCCAGCCCCAGGCGCCCTCTGACAGTCAAGCTGCTGCCAGAGTCTGTGCCACTGCTGAGGCACACCAGGCTGGGAACCCCCCAGTGCCTCTGGGCTCCCCACACCAAAATCTTGTGATCCAGCCCAACCCCCTCGTGAGTCCTGCCCCTGCCCTCACCAGCCACCCCAGGGTGACTTTGAGCTCGTGACTCCCAGGGCTTCCCACTCCATACTCTGCCCTTACCTCCTGCTACCCCAAACCCGACCTCCTTGGGCTCTTTGGGCTCACGTCTCCAAGGACCTGGGTGCCCTAGAACCTGCCCTCACCAGTTGCCCCATGGTCACTTTGGACAGGTGACTCCCGGGGCTCCCTGCTCCATACTCGGGCCTCACCTCCCGCCACCCAAAGCCTGACCTCCCTGGGCTCTTTGGGCTTCCATCTCCAAGGACCTGGGTCCCAACCCTGTGACCCCCTCCCCAATCTCTGGGAGCTTGGTCATTGCACTCATGTGTCCCCCCCACCACTCCACTGAGGAGTGGAATGTAGTGATGTCGCAGTCCCTCTAGGAACTGTCATTACTGCCACGAGACCGGTCTTTGGTCTTAGGACCCAGTCCCCTAAGTGTTCTTGCCCATTTCTGGTTCCTCTGGTGTAGCACAGGTTTCCAGCTGGAAGGAGATTGGGGACTGTGGGACGTAGGAGAGAGAGGTTTCAGGCTGCCTTACTTCCTTAACACAGACGTTGACAGTGTGAAAAGCCTACACCTCCCCCATGAGCTCAACACATTGACAGTGTTCTGGGTGGCAACGGGAGAATGGGTTTAGTTTGATTTTCTCCCAGGCTTCTACTCTCCAGAGAGACTCGAACATTGTTTCTGAGTTCTCCACCTCTGATTTGAATTCTCCATTGTTCTGGGACCAGAGTGCCCCTCAGTCAGTGGTTGCTGGAGTGAGATCTGCCTATCTTCTGTGGAACAGATCTTGGGAAACTGAACTTGACAGCTTGAATCTTCCTCATCTCATCTCCACCTGGGGTACTTTGAGTGCCACAGGATAAATATGGGGCATCTTTCTGAAGCATCAGTTTCCTTTGAGTCTACTGAGAGACAAAACATTAATGTACTTAGGGGTGACAGTCACATAGATTTATAAGAATATACAAGACTTCTCTCTGAAATGAGGGTTGGGTTGTCCTCTTTCTGTTAAATTCCCAGATTTCACAGAAAGGCTGCCTTCTGCCATGAAGATACAGTAATATAAATTTTGAGAAGTACTGGTGCACTTCTTCACACTAACAGACGTGTGAGGGTGTATGACTCTAAACCACACGGTGTACAGTTCCTGCCTACCTGATATTTGCTTTTCTGCCTTTGCCTCTGGTTTTGGTCCCTGGCAGCTGCTGACTTGTGGCAAAATCCCAGAGCTCAGAGTCAGAAGACTGAGTTTCAGTTCCATTAGTGCCTTCTATTCAGCCATGGTATCAATCCCTCTCAGTCACTGACTGTGACAACACTTCCTACAGTTGTTGGTGGCACTAAATCAGATGGTGCATAAGAGTATTTTGTAGAAACTGTAAAGCAGGATGTGACTGTAGGAGCTTGTAGTTCTCATGAATATCACTGCTCTTCCTTTCCACAGTTGAGAGACTACCATCCCCAGGCCAACCCTAGTGTTGGTACAGGAGCAAGCGACACCAAAAAGAAGAACATAAATAATGGTGCTAACTCTGAGACAACCACTTCTGGAGGTTGCCACTCACCTGAGGATGTGAGTCTTGGCTGGCCAGGCTCCTGGGGACAGAGGGCCCAAGGGGTGGTGGAGGGTAATTGTTAAGATTGTGGAAGAACTCCCAGGCACTGCTTAAGAATTCTGGGTTTGAATCCTCTCCATCTGCTGGGGATATGATAGAGGGCAAATTCCTTGAGCTCTTTGGGCCTCTCTTCTCACATCTGTAAAATAGGAGTGGTTTGGTTTTACCTACATTGGTGAAGTTTTAATGAGATTTATCATTGTTGTTTTTATGTTAATCCCTAGTCCACGGCCTACTGTAAAGTCTCCTTCTCGGCTTGCGTTTCCTGAGGTAGAGTTAGAGAGTATCAGAGGTGTCTGTCAGCTCTGAGAGTCCGAGAGTTAAAGGCCCACTAGAATGGAAACCTCGGGACCGAGGGTTCCTGTCTGCCTTTTCCGTCCTATTCTCCCGCTGTGAAGAACCGTCTCTGGCCCGTATGTGCTCAGTCAATGTCCGTTGAATGAAGGCACCTTTCTAAATCACAGGCTGGCAGAAGGGTGGGCTTTTCTCACACTCCATCTCTGAAGGTTTCTGTGACTGTCTTTTCGAGAGAATCTAGTTTCATACTTTGAGTTCTGTGGCTGTGGGCAGAAACCAACAAAGACCCAAGTCCTTTTTCTTTGGGAGTTGAGGAGAGTTTACCAGTTCGTGTTCCCATTGGGTCTGAGAACTTTACCTTTAAAATCCATCCCTGGCACCTGCCTACCGCTTCCTGGCCTGGGGAATAGACTCGAAGGGGCCACCCTCAGTCACCTTCCTTTGACTCTCCCCACAGAAACAGCAGAACCGAGCCCAGCTGGAAGAAGTGACGTGATTTCTTTGTTTGATCATGACATGACTGCTGGGTTTTAGAAGCACTCAGCAGTAGAGGCCCCAGTCTCATCTTGCCCACTCCCAGCCTGGGGAAGAAGGCTCACCCCCCGGATCCCACCCCATCCCCACAGGGTTCCTGATAACCTGGTCCCATGGGTGGGCCTGTCCTGGGGCAGTGGTGCCGTTCTGGGGGCATGTCTCTTGCTGTGCCATCTCTGCTTCCCCCTAGTAAGAGCTCTGTCTTCCTCTTTCTATAGGAAAAGAAGGCAAGCCACCAACATCAGGAAGCCCTAAGGAGGGAGCTAGAGGTGAGTGGAGGGTTTGAAGTTCCCTCCTGGCCTCTGGAGAAGGTTTCTTTGCTTCTCTTTCAGCACTTGCTTTTTTTTCCCCCAAGGCCCAGGTTCATACCATACGAATCCTTACATGTGAGAAAACTGAGCTTCAGACGGCACTCTATTACAGCGAGCGTGCTGTCCAGCAGTTGCAAGGTGGGAATCTGGTACCCCATCATCCTTCAACCTGGCACTTTGACAGGCCTTTATGGGGAGTCCTTTGGGCCGCATCTGAATGTCTCTCATTCCAGGAGAGTGCAGGCATCTGGTCGGCCGCCTGCATGATTCATGGAATTTTGCAAGGATTTAGAGTGGGATCTCTCTGCTGTTGCTACACAGAAGAAGAAGGCTGACAGGGTGAGTCCAACCCCTGCCCCATCCCCTGGGAGCCCGGCTTCACAGATGGAGGAGTGAGCCTAAAAGTCCCTTCTGCAGGATGGAGTGTCCTGCCCAGAAGACAGCATGGCCATTTCTTGCTGCTTTTGTGTGTGGTGGTTAGAGGCTGACAGGGGCTGAGTCAGCTGCTGTGGGTGAGTTGGGGGGCGCCGTGGGGAGTGAGCACCGGACATAGAGCTCACAGGCCAAGTGCCCGCCCTGCCCATAATTGACTGTGGCCTTGGCCAAGTCCCAAGTGGCGGTTAGGATACTGGTACCATAAAGGTACAGAAGAGTAGCTTGAGTATGTTTTATTTGTGTTGAGAGAGGGAGCCTCTGTGGTGGTGTGTGTGTGTGTGTGTGTGTGTATTATGGGAACATACAATAAACATGTTTGTAAGGATCATAAACATCTCAGGAGAGAGGAACAGTGTTGGGGGGAGATATTTCCCTTCTGTACTTTCTGAGTTTTGGACGATTCGAATGTATCATCCTTTCAAAATATCAACAAATGATTAATTTCCTCCTCCTTATCTTTGCCCCTACCCCCAGGGAAAGAATGGGCTTAGAGAATCAGATATACCTGGGTGTTGAAATCCCAGCTCTACGTGATCTTAGGCAAGCACTTAACCCTTAATACCCCATGTTTTTCATCTATACGATAGAGGTAATAATGGTAACCGTCTCCTATGGAGGTTGTGAGGATGAAATGGGATTGTTAGTGCAGTGCCTGGTGAAGCAGTCAGTAAAGGTTCCAACAGTGGTAGTAGTAACAGTAAGAACATTAGCAATACCATCTGATGTCTCTGGGCCCCTGCTAGCCAGCCATGAATTCCGTCTCTTTCCCTGTCCCTTCCACCTTTACTGAGTTCTTTGAAAAACAAATGAGGGCCAGGTGCTCTGGCTCATGCCTGTAATGCCAGCACTTTGGGAGGCCGAGGCTGGCGGATCACCTGAGGTTGCGAGTTCAAGACTAGACTGACGGACATGGAGAAACCCCATCTCTACTAAAAATACAAAGTTAGCCGGGTGTGGTGGCACATGCCTATAATCCCAGCTAATCGGGAGGCTGAGGCAGGAGAATTGCTTGAACCCGGGAGGCGGAGGTTGTGGTGAGCTGAGATTGCGCCATTGCACTCCAGTCAGGGCAACAAGAGTCAAACTCTGCCTGAAGAAAAAGAAAAAGTAAGAAAGAAAGAAACAAAACAAAAAAGAAAACCAAAGGAGACCCTGGGCTTGGAAGTGCCTTGAGAGCATGTCAGGTGTGACTGGGAGTGGGGAGTGGTGTGTGGAGTGGTCACAGTGGCTGTTGTTCCTGGTCGGCCAGCCGCTCCTCTGCCTGCTCTATCCTGACTTCACCTTTCTCTATTTGCAGTACATCGAGGAGTTAACAAAGGAGAGGGATGCCCTGAGTCTGGAACTGTACAGGAACACGTAGGATGGGGGACGGTGGGATGGGAGGTCTTGGGGCTCTTAGCGTGGGGGGTGTGCTGAGAGGTGGGGGGTACAGGTGAGCATGGTGAGAGGCTCATACAGGTTTTCATGTGTGCACAGGGAAGCTCTAGTGCCGGCTGTGCCACTGACTCATGCGGTAGCCTCAGGCAACTCATGTCTTCTCTCTGGCCTGCCACCTGGGGCTTTTAATTCCTGGGGTCCCATCCAATGCCACGGTTCTGTGGTTGTGGGGTGAAAGTAGAGGGTTGATCACCAAAGCAGTCCTTTCTGTTCTTCGTTCATTCCTTTATCTACCGCCTCTGGTTGTAGCATAACCGATGATGAGCTGAAGGAGAAAAATGCCGAACTACAAGAAAAACTTCGACTTGTAGAATCTGAGAAGTCTGAGATCCAGCTCAATGTAAAGGAGCTAGAAAGCAAGCTGGAGAAAGCCAAGCTCCTGCTGCCACAGGCAAGCAGCTACAGCCCCGGGGGTTGTGGGATCCCCGTCCGGCTGGGACCATGGTCTAGGATCATGCAGGCTATGGGGAGGCTCCAGTCAAGAGCTGGAAAATTTGGGCCCTTTTTCTGGTCCCACCATAGAATCCTCTAGAGTGTGCTAAAAATGTACAAAGTGGGGCCCTGCCTGGGGAATCAGAATCTCAGAGTTAGGGCTTAAAAATATATATTTTAAAGGATCATGCGTGAAAACCATTGTTTTATAGATTACATTTATATGACTATCCCATGAGTCTGTTTCCTTCTGAGGTTCAAACCAACTTTCACTGTTCCAGCAGCAGCTGCAGGAGGAGGCTGACCACCTGGGTAAGGAGCTGCAGAGTGTGTCCGCGAAGCTCCAAGCCCAGGTGGAAGAGAACGAGTTGTGGAACCGCTTGTACCAGCAACAGGAAGAGAAGATGTGGAGGCAGGAAGAGAAGATACAGGAGCAGGAGGAGAAGATACGGGAGCAGGAGGAGAAGATACGGGAGCAGGAGGAGAAGAGGCAAGAGCAGGAGGAGAAGATACGGGAGCAGGAGGAGAAGAGGCAGGAGCAGGAGAAGGAGATGTGGAAGCAGGAGGAGAAGATAAAGGAGCAGGAGGAGAAGATACGGGAGCAGGAAGAGAAGAGGCGGGAGCAGGAGGAGAAGATGTGGAGGCAGGAGGAGAAGATACAGGAGCAGGAGGAGAAGATACATGAGCAGGAGGAGAAGATACGGGAGCAGGAGAAGAAGAGGCAGGAGCAGGAGAAGAAGATGTGGAGGCAGGAGAAGATGCATGAGCAGGAGGAGAAGATGCATGAGCAGGAGGAGAAGATACGGGAGCAGGAGAAGAGGAGGCAGGAGCAGGAAGAGAAGATTTGGAGGCAAGAGGAGAAGATACGGGAGCAGGAGGAGAAGATGCATGATCAGGAGGAGAAGATAAGGGAGCAGGAGAAGAAGATGCACAAGCAGGAGGAGAAGATACCAGAGCAGAAGAAGAAGAGGCAAGAGCAGGAGGAGAAGATACCAGAACAGAAGAAGAAGAGGCAAGAGCAGGAGGAGAAGATGTGGAGGCAGGAGAAGAAGATACGGGAGCAGGAGGAGAAGATGCATGAGCAGGAGGAGAAGATACAGGAGCAGAAGGAGAAGATGCACAATCAGGAGGAGAAGATACAGGAGCAGGAGGAGAAGATGCATGAGCAGGAGGAGAAGATACATGAGCAGGAGGAGATGATAAGGGAGCAGGAGGAGAAGATGCACAAGCAGGAGGAGAACATACGGGAGCAGGAGAAGAAGAGGCAGGAGCAGGAAGAGAAGATGTGGAGGCAGGAGGAGAAGATACGGGAGCAGGAGGAGAAGATGCATGAGCAGGAGGAGAAGATACAGGAGCAGAAGAAGAAGATACAAGAGCAGGAGAAGAGGAGGCAGGAGCAGGAGGAGAAGATTTGGAGGCAGGAGGAGAAGATGCATGAGCAGGAGGAGAAGACACAGGAGAAGGAGGAGAAGAGGCGGGAGCAGGAAGAGAAGATGTGGGAGCAGGCGGAGAAGATTTGGAGGCAGGAGGAGAAGATGCGTGAGCAGGAGGAGAAAATACAGGAGCAGGAACAGAAGATACAGGAGCAGGAGGAGAAGATACGGGAGCAGATGTGGAGGCAGGAGGAGAAGATACAGGAGCAGAAGGAGAATATGCACAATCAGGAGCAGAAGATACGGGAGCAGGAGAATAAGATGCACAAGCAGGAGAATATATGGGAGCAGGAGAAGAAGAGGCAGGAGCAGGAGGAGAAGATGCGGAGGCAGGAGGAGAAGCTACGGGAGCAGGAGGAGAAGATATGGAGGCAGGAGGAGAAGATACGGGAGCAGAAGGAGATAATACGGGAGCAGGATGAGATGATGCGGGAGCAGGAGGAGAAGATGTGTGAGCAGGAGGAGAAGCTGGGGAAGAAGGAGGATATGCTGCGGGAGCAGGAGGAGAAGATGTGTGAGCAGGAGGAGATTCTGGGGGAGAAGGAGGATATGCTGCGGGAGCAGGAAGAAAAGCTGTGGGAGCAGGAGAAGAAGATGTGGGAGCAGGAGGAAAAGATGTGGAGGCAAGAGAAGAAGCTAGGGGAGCAGGAGGAGAAGATGTGGAGGCAGGAGGAGATGATGCGCGAGCAGGAGAAGAAGATGTGGGAGCAGGAGGAGATGATATGGGAGAAGGAGCAAAAGATACGTGAGCAGGAGGAGAAGATGCAGAGGCAGGAGGAGAAGATGCGGGAGAAGGAGGAGAAGATGCAGAGGCAGGAGGAGAAGATGTGGGAGAAGGAGGAGAAGATGCAGAGGCAGGAGGAGAAGATGCGGGAGCAGGAAACGAGGCTGTGGCAGCAGGAGGAGAAGATGCAGAAGCAGGAGGTGAGGCTGCAGGAGCTGGAGGAGAGGCTGGTGGAGCTGGGGCGGAAGGCAGAGCTCTGGGGGAGCAGGCGGAGGTGGGTGCAAACCCTGGAGATCATACAGAACGCCCTCACCACAACTTAGCAGATGGTGGTTGGCTCCCTCTGCTTTTCCACCAGTCTGTGGCGTACAGCTTCAATGGTGGGAAGAAGGGTGTGAGATTTGAGGCTGGGGAGGCAGTCACTTAGGCCTGGAGGAAGGGGCCAGGGTCCAGGGGCCTGGGCAGATAACAGAGCCCCACTGTGCCCTCGCCACCCTGTTTATGGGCCCAGAATCTGGAAGCCAGCCACTGCCTACCCTGACGCCTATCCTGCAGGTGGAGCTGAAGAGCCAAGAGGCTCAGAGTCTGCAGCAGCAGCGAGACCATTCCCTGGGTCCCCTGCAGCAGTACGTGGCTGCCTATCAGCAGCTGGCCTCTGAGAAGGAGGCTCTGCCCAGCTGCAGCAGCAGGAAGCTCAGGGCAAAGCGGTGGCCGAGGTGGCCCCCCGATAGTTGCAGGAGACCCAGTTGAGGGAGTTGATGAGGGTGAGGCCCCGAGGGGGATGACCTGGCAGCCTCCGTGCCTTCTCACTCTCTTTTCTGGCCCCTTAGGAGCACCTGGAAGCTGCCATCTACCGAGCACATGACAAGAAGGCAAAAACAATAAACATGTAAACCCGGCAGCAAGGCCTGGAGAAGAGTCAGCTGCCATGTGACTGTTTAGAATATAGTCTGAGCCCAAACCTGAAAAAAAAAAAAAAAGAAAAGAAAAATTACTTATTTTAAATTGTGGCAAAATATTGGTCAGGCACAGTGGTTCATGCCTGTAATCCCAGCAATTTGGGAGACTGAGGTGAATGGACCACCTGAGGTCAGGAGTTCCAGACCAGCCTGGCCAATACAAAAATTAGCCGGGCATGGTGGCGCATGCCTGTAATCCCAGCTACTTGGGAGGCTGAGGCAGGAGAATCGCTCGAACCTGGGAGGCAGAGGTTGCAGTGAGCTGACATCGTGCCACTGCACTCAAGCCTGGGTGACAGAGCGAGACTCTGCCTCAAACAAACAAACAAACAAACAAACAAACAAACAAAAAATAACAAAAAAAAACTTTCTTCCTTATCTTCCTTACATGTATGTTTCTATTGGTTTTTTTCTTGTATGTTTCTACTGGTTTTTTTCTTGTTCTTTCTCATTTAGTCTTGTCTTGTCTTATGGCATTGCTAGTAAACTTTTATCTGCCTCCAGAGAGTATTGACTTTGACTTTATGGCACACAATTGGAGTAAGCGCAGATCAACTTCATGTAGTTTGGGACTAAGCTGGTTCAAAGCAGGCTTTAGTTTTTGTGACGGCTGGTCTATTTTTTATTCATTTGGACTCCTAGGGGTGACCCTTCCAGGGTTCCCACCAAGGTCCCATCTCCTTACTGGGACCCAAATTCTCATGAGGTCATTTCAGCCCTGTGAGTGCCAAACATCCAGCCAGGCTCTCCAGCCTCTTAACCACCACTTCAGACTCAGTTTCTTAACCTCTTAGCCCTCTACTGTTCACCAATCACCAAATGTCGGAAAAGCACTACAGACTGTCAGGGTCACCTCCTAGGCCTGGTCACTCAAGTTCTGACTGAGGTCTCCAATTACCTTCAAACAGTTGTTTTTGGTGGTGGGGGCACATTTTTGTCCAGTTTCTCTAACTGCTTTTGTGGGGCGGCTAATCTATAACAAGCTACTCTGCCTTTAGTGAAAGTTGAGAACCTTCATCTGTCTGTTTTTTTTTTCTTTTGAGATGGAGTCTCGCTCTGTTGCCCAGGCTCCAGTACAGTGGCGTGATCTCTGCTCACTGTAACCTCCGCCTACTGGGTTCAAGCAATTCTCCTGCCTCAGCCTCCCGAGCAGCTGGGACTACAGGCCTGTGTCCCCATGCCTGGCTTATTTTTGTATTTTTAATAGAGACAGGATTCAACCATGTTTTCCAGGCTGCTCTCGAGCTCCTGACTCAGGTGATCTACCCGCCTCGGCCTCCCAAAGTGCTGGGATTACAGGCGTGAGCCACTGCGTCTGGCCCATCTCTCTTTTAAAAAATGTTTTTAATTTGAGGTACAATTTATCTTCAGTGAAATGCACAGATCTGCTATATATTTTGATGAATTTCAACAAATGCATTACCCATGTATCCCACCTCCTTTGAAGATATAGAACATTCCTATCATCCAGAAAGTTCTCCTGTGCTTTAACCCTGTCCGGCACTCCCCCAGCAGCTGATGAACCTGCTGACGACATTGGTACAGGATTCTGGCCTCCCCAAAAGAGCTGCTTTGAGAAGCCTGCTTGCCTTACCCAGCACTAAGTCCCTGCCTGCTCTCTCAAGATTTCCATCTTTAAACTGGTTGTACCTATAACCCTCCCTGGTCAAGTCAGTAGATAAACAAACGATGAAAAAAAACACCCCTTCCTGGCCCAGCAGCCACAGCCTAATCTTTCCTGTATCCCCAACTATCAGAAATGTCACTCCCTCGCTGGTTCACCCTCACTAGGGTGGCAGCTGCACAGGCGCAGCTGGGCTGACCCGTTAAGCAAGAAGCCAATAGCTGGACAGTGACACTCAGACCCCAGCCTGGGAGAGCCTGGCTGAAAGCCCCCTTCTTTCTGGTCCGACTGTGGAGGGGCGGAGCATCCACAACTCTACTGCCCTCCGCATCCTTCAGCTGTGCTTCCTCCTGGGAGACGGAGCTGTTCATTCATTTGGACAAAGCCTTCTTGAGGGCTGTAGGTTTGACAGGCTGGGTGTGTGGGGGCCACCGTGCTAGAGAGAGAGGCTGGTGTGTCAGAAGGCAGCCACCTGGCCAGAGGAGGGTCAACCCCCTTGGTGACCTCCTTCCCCTGGCTGGACACAGCGCCCTGCACTCTCCACATGTGACTGCTCCCCTCAGAGCGGCTTCCAGGGGAGGGGTTCTAACCCTGTGGGTGGGGACACTGTGTTAGTTTACAGTGGGCCATGGCTCCCTCTGACATCTCCAACTCAGAGGCAGTGGAGAGAAGATGAGAAATTCCCTGCACCTCCTCCCTCAGCACCCACCTCTGCACACATCCACATATGGAGACCCTGATGGTGGTCCCTGGGAGTGCCGCCACCTGCGTCTCCTTTCCATGCCTGCAGCAGCCATGCCCACTCTCCAGACCCTCACCCTCCTGGCTCAGTAGAGGCTGCACTGCCCTGGGTCCTGCCCCTACGCCTGGGCCTCTGTACCCATCAGTTCCCCCAGTCTGGTTCTTATTTCCTCCAAGTATGGAGCCGGTAAGGTCACCTGCTGAGCAAGCTGGGGGAGAGAGTAGGGTGGGGCTGGGAGGATGAGGAGAAGAAGCTTATAGTCATGCTGGAGACTCAGTGGACCAGAGTCTATGCAGGCCCATCGGCTGCCTAGCCAGTGGTGATCCCACTCCCAACCTCGTTTCTTCTTTACCAAAACCATGACCGCATTAAATATTGGAAACCTATAAACCCCATAGACCCTCCTCCAGCCTCCCCACCATGTATTGGTGAGTCTAAGTCAACTCTAGTCATTTCATTCCTCTGGACACTGATTGCCTGGGGCTTGGGCATGAGCTGCCTCTTCACCTGAGCCTGAGCCACACGTGTCCTCTGCACCTACCAACTGATGCACTGGGTCAGGGAGAGCTCCGTCTCGATGGAGATGAGCTGTGAGGAGCTGGTGGCCAAGCGGATCAGGTTGTTGTAACGGGTTTTGTTCAGAGGGTCATCCATCAGCTTCTGCTCGGCATGGGCCACTCGGCAGTCCCCTGGGTAAACACACAGACATGCTGGACCCTTGAGCAGCTGTCCCCCACTGCAGCTGACAGCTACAAAGTGGGAGCCGAGAGGGCCAGGGAGCACAGGCACCTCGAGGGCCGGCTCAAGCAGTGAAGGCGCTGGCGGGCCTGGCGCTCCCTGGGAACCTCAAATGACATTCATGACAGAGCTCAGTTACCTCCTCCCATGCCACACCTCTTCCTCCTCCTCCTCCTCCCTCGATCAATGAACAGCATCCCACGCTCCACACATCTGAGACAAAACTGGGTGTCTCTTCCAGACTCCTCCCTTGGTTCATTCAAGTGGCCACCAAGTCCTGTCTGTCCTCCCATCTCCACGGCTACAGCCATGTCCCTTCCTCCCCCGCCCTGTCCACCTTCTATTCTCTCCACCCGCACTCTGTCCCCGCCATCCATGTGCCATACAGTGGCAGACTGGTCTTTCTACAGCACACTGGACTAGGGCCCTTCCCTGCCCACAGCTCTCAGAGCTGGAGGTGGAGTTGAAACTCATGGTTTGGCATTCAGAGCTCTTTCCCCCTCGGCACTGGCTTATCCAGAGCGCTCACAGTGCGGGGCAGGAGCCCCTGACTCAAATGTGGGTGTGGTGCACAACTGGGTCATAGGCTTTCCCTAAGAAGAGACAGGACTGAGATGCGGAGCTTTTCTGGGTTCAGAGTTAGACCCACAGAGTGCAAGGTTTCTCTGAGACACCAAATGGAGGGTCCAGCTGGCAGCTGGCTCCTGGTCTGGAGCTTCAAGGAGAGGTGTCAGCTCAGAGCCACATTCAATAGCCAGCTGAAATGCAGCCTCCTGCAGAGAGTCCCTGGAGCTTCCACAGCCTCAGATCTGCCCCTCTGCATACCCCAGAGCCCTTGCCAAGTGGTGTTTGGTTCTTCATGTCATCTCTATCCCATGTCTGGGAGTAAAGGTGAGGTGCAGGGACTTGAGCTTGTGTACTCTGATGTCTTAAGGGAGAATGTGTCAAGTAGAGTGGAGGTGGCTTGGAAAGAGGGAGACTCAGGAGAGTGAAGGACACTGACCAGGCGAACCTGGGAGCAGGAAAAGAGATGAGCGTGAGCAGAGGAAACTGCTGGGGCAGGGTCAGATGGGAGGATCAGGGAATGAGTGGGGCTAGAGAGGTGGGGGCGGGGATGCTGGCGCCAGGCTTCCTGGCTTGCCAGGCTCAGGAGTCGGTTACATCCTCCCACAAGGGCCAGCTCACCTGGTCGCCCCAAAGCCCTCCCTCTGTGGGTGGGACCAGAGGGACCAGAACATGGATTACCCAATTGAGCAGGACAGAGGTGGACTCAGGTGGTGCTGGGCTGGACTCCTGGCTGTGGGGAGCAGCCGCCACCCTGCCTACTGTGTCCACTTTCCAACTCGCTGCCTATCTGAACAGATGCAATATTGGGCACCTTGTGAAACGTGCTCCTGGTGCACCTGCTACCTGCTGCCCCTCCTGCAGAGTGCCCGGGCTCTCCAGAGGGGATTGCTGTGGAGGCTTGGCCTAGATTCTGAGTCCTGCCTCCCATACCCGGAGCTGCTACCCCAGAGGCCAGCTGCTTGAGTATGGAAGCTGGAAGCCTGTCTGTAGCCCCAGGCTACAGTGGGGTCCATCCCACAGCCCTTCTTTAGTGCATCTATTTGGACTGACTGCTCATTTCATAGAGAGGGCTGTGTCTTGCCCCAGCTCATCTGGCATGTCTAAGGCAGTTGTGGGGACAGAATCTGCAGCTCCCAGGCCCCAGCCCTGCAACAGTAGGAGAGGCTGGACCCTGTATCTCTGCAGTCCCACCGGGCTGGTGTGAGCGGGCTCCTGAGCCCAGGGCTGCTCTGCAGGCTGTGGGGCTCATGCACCAGCTCTGAGCCCACCTGATGTGCTCAGGTTGCTCACCTTTGGGCCTGTCCTGCCTCTCTGGCATTCGGCTGACCCTGAGGTCCTCTCCCTCATCTTGACCACCAGCTACGGGCTCTGACTTAGAGGTTCCCAGAACCTTAGACCATTTGGCCCGCTCCCTCTCCCATTTCTCAGCCGAGGAAACTGAGACCAGAGAGGGAAAGCAACTTTCTCAAGGACCCCCAACAAGTCAGAGACAGAACCGGATCTAGGAACCTCTTCTCAACAGAGATTCTCCCTGTCCCCTGGCCTTTTTTAGTGCCTCATTAACTTCCCTGTAAGGACACTGCCCCGCCGAGGCTGGAAATGGTGCTGTCCAGGGCGGTGTGTGCCCGTGACTTTGCCTGTGTTTCTACTTGTGAGTGGGTATGGGGGTGGGGATGAGGGGTGGGAATAAATGGCAGGGATGCTGAGGCTGGAATGCACTCTGCCTCACCCCAAAAAGGGGCACAGGAGAGCCCAGCCAAGCACAGCACATGCTTCCACTTTCCAATATGCGGAATGCCTGTGAGGCCGGCTGGGCCCAGAAGACAAGGAACAGGCCTTTCCCCACAGATGACAGGGGGGCCCAGGATGGGCGGAAGCTTCTGCTGCAGCTTTGGGGGTCACATCCCAGCCCACGGGCTGACAGTTAAGCAGAGAAGTCGCCTCTAGGGGTCAGTCATGATCTAGTGATTCTGATGAGGAGGGGCCCCCAACCAGCCTCTCTCCAGGGTCTTGTCTGGAAAAACTGCTCCCTGGCAGAAATGGGCTGCTAATTTGAGAGGAAGCCATAGCTGAAATTCTAAACTGTGTGAGTGTGTGTCTAGTTTGAAAAAGGATATCCGACTTCAACATTTATATTGAAAAAATGGAAAGCTATTCCCCTTGTTTTGGAATACAAACTACAGAAAGCAACAGTTAACAGAATCTTATTGGAGACGTGAGATTCTACATCTGGAAAGGCACAGTGACTTTCAACTGGGGTGTGTGTCCTTCTCTGAGCAAGGGATGGTGAGATTTATGTTTAGTAAAAGGCAGCTATGAATTTACCTTTTATAAAGAACTTGCCACATACTATTAGTGCATTTTCAATCATGTCAGAATCACCCGAATGCCTGTGTAAATGCAAGTTCCCAGGCTTCATTCCTGGAGATTCCAGTCCTGTGAGCCTAGGGTGGGGCCCAGAAATCTCTATGGGGTGGTGCAGGCTGCCCCAGGAACACACCTAAGAAACACTGCAACTGCCCCCCACACACATCCAAGTCCCCAAATACGTAGGCAGGCATCTCATCTCTATAGAACAGATAGGGAAACTGAGGTCCAGAGTGGAGAAAGAAATGGCACAGCATCACCCAGCAAGTAGTAGCAGAGCCACGACACACCCACTGCCTGCGGACACCATCTCTGATGACAGCTCCACCTCCCTTCAGGAGCCTTGCCTACCCCCACCCCTACCTCCTGCTGCCCCTATGGTGGGTCTCTGTCCAAGGAAGATGTAGCCCTGGTCCTCTAGGCTGACTGGGGCTCAGAGGAAATGCTTGGCGCAGAACGTAGGAGCTAGAAGGGTTCTTGGAATTCAGGTGGGGAAACTGAGGCCCAAAGAAGGGAGTCCTCAGATTTGAACTGTGTCTGGAGAAGGTCTGATTCTCCTTCCTGAGTAGTAGGTTTGGCTTCAGTAGCCTGACCCTCAGTCAAGCTGGCTGTCCAGGCGCGCCACACCTCGGGGTGGGTGACCAGAGGCGGCAGTACCATAAAACAGGTTTCCTGGGAGATCCACCCCCAAAGCTCAAAACATTCCAGGCCTGGTGATTTGGGCACGCCCCCTTCCCTCTCAGCCCGGTTTCCCCATCTCTACAATAGCTGTGTTGGAGGAGACTTCTCTCTGAGACTGAGCTGCAGATGTTCTCCCGGGTGCCTACACCGCCCAGGTTGCTGGCTCCTCTGTGCCCACTCTTCAAGACAGTCAGCTCTTAGGTGAGGAAGGTGCCTTGGCCCTATCAGGAGTAGGAGCTGGTGTCCCTGAGCCTCCCAGACCAGTGGGGATGACCCAGGCTGCCTGCAAAGCTGCTGCCCAGCCCACAGACACTGCCTGGGAGGGTGGCCCCGGCCCTCGCAGCAGCTCTGAGAAGAGGCAGCCCTCACTTCAAAACTCGCAGAGCCACCCATGCCTTCCCTCAGCGCGAAGAGGCTTTTAGGAAAATGAAACATCTCAAGTTCAAACCCATGGGGTTGCTGAAAGACGAGACAGTACGGGGTGAGCTGGCGCGAGGGAGCGCGGCTCTGTGCAGACTCTGCAGGGAGGGCACTTAGGAAAAGGGCCTGGAGTCTGGGAGGCTGACCAGCTCAGGGTTAAGGGGAGGGGATGGAGCTGGAGTGAGCTGGCCTCATCCTCCCCCTTGGGCTTTCCAGCGTGGGCTCAGGTGATTCAAGGGAGCAAACACCTCCTTTTCCGGACCAGGGAGTTCTCGCCACGTTTTGGAATCGGTACCATTCCCCTGGGGGCTGGGGGGCGGCTCCCACCTCCAGACCTGGCTGGAACTGCTGCCTCCATTCTAGATCCAAAAGAACCTCTGGCAGCTTCTCCATCTCCCTCCCAGTCCAGCCTCACCTCCTCCCCCGTGAGGGCCCCAACAGCAAATCTGACAACTGGAGGAACAAGGCAGGAAGGGCAGGGTCTGAGGGAGTGACCACCTCGGAAGGCAGCTCGGCCACCTTCTCTCCAGGACTCTCAGGCTTGCTTTCATATCGCTCCCTCGACATCCTTTTGCTATAATCTGGTGTGTTGACATATGGTCTTTAAAAGAAACAACACTGTTGATGTGGAGCCAACTTCCCCTTTGGGATGGTTTTGAGAAGTTAGGGTTCAGGGCATCCTCTCTTCGGCAGACTGCAGCAGTAGTAGGGGAGATATATAAAGTAAATAAAGGCCGGGCGTGGTGGTCACGCCTGTATTCCCAGTACTTTGGGAGGCCGAGGTAGGAGGATCACTTGAGTCCAGGAGTTCGAGACCAGCCTGGCCAATATTGCGACACTCCGTCTCTACTAAAAATATAAAAATTAGCTGGGCATAGTGGTGCACACCTGTAATCCCAGCTACTCGGGAGGCTGAGGCAGGAGGCGGAGTTTGCAGGGAGCTGAGATCGGGCCACTGCACTCCAGCCTTGGCGAGCCAGACTCCATCTCAAAAAAAAAAAAAGAAAAAAGAAAAAAGGAAAAGACATTTGTAACAGACAGATTTAAAATACGAAGCATGAAAATAATTAAAATACCTCAATGCAGACGTGATGCATTCCTCTAGCCTCATTTTTCTGCAGAAAACCTGCAACTGGACTGTCGCTTCCCAACGAATGAAGCAGTTCCATCTTGGCATTTCCCAGGTTGACAGAAACAATGATTCATATTTACTGGTAACAGTTAAAGGAAGCAGCATATTCAGAATCACATGTTATTCTCTGCATTTCACAGGGGGTCAGTTTGAATGTGACAATGAAACAACACATACTTCTCAAAGCAGGCAATTTTCTCTACCCGTACCCAATTTTTGTCTTATATTTTGTAATAAGTTCACTAAAGGTATAACCATACAGTTCTCTTTTAATGTGTATTTTACTTGAATGATTATCACCTAAGGAAAATATCTACATGTTGGGGAAAAACAAGCAAAGATCAAGAGGGTATTTAAATTACAAGCATTTCCTCTGTGACCAGACTTTTAAGACTGTTGTATAATTTTGAAGGATTGGAGGCAGAACTGCCTGTAAATGTGAAGAAACCTCCTTTCACTCAGTAACTGAAGAAGGCTGCAAGGCCTTTTTCTCATGTATAACGCTGCTTTCCAATTTCCCAAAACACAGGAATTTACGAGCCAGATTCCTCTTGGAAGGAAGATTATACACATGTATGAGGTTTAAACATAATCCTGTAAAAATATATCATTTAATAAAAGATATCAAATAGCAAAATGAATACATATTTAAACAAGTTGTTAGATCTTAATGAAAAACACTTTAAACAGTATCTAGTATTACAGAGCATCAGCTAACTAAAAAAATGCTCCTTATCTGAAATTTTTGATAACAAGAAAATTAAGGTGACACTATTTCTTCTTATTCAAGATCATAAATTTGACGCATCATAATTCAGTAGAGGGCAACATTTAGCCTAATATGGTCTTCTGCTACGCCACAGTCTGTATCATTGAAATATCCAAAGACTCTCATTCCCAATAGATGAATATGTATACCCCAGTTCTGTGGACTCATTGTTACCATGTAATCCAAGTGGATTACAACCCGGTACACAAATACATAAATGTACAACTGAAACTAAATTGTAAAAAAAGAATACCTAATGCTTTCTAGATGTAATGTGCTCTGATATTTTCTATTTTATTTCAGTTTTTAAAAAATACTGGTACTACTCACTAAGCACCTAACTTGCAGATTTGTTGTGAAGATTAGACAGTTGGTGTAAAAAAATAAATACACTGCCAGACAGTAGGTGCACAATAAATTCAGGCCATTCTTTTTGTTAATGACATACAAAATGCTAATAACCAGCTGAGTATGGTGGCTCATGCCTGTAACCCAACACTCTGGGAGGCTGAGGTGGGCAGATCACTTGAGGTCAGGAGTTCGAGACCAGCCTGGCCAATATGGTGAAACCCCAGCTCTACTAAAAATACAAAAATTACCTGGGCATGGTCACACATGCCTGTAGTCCCAGCTACGCAGGAGGCTGAGGCAACAGAATTATCTGAACCCAGAAGGCAGGTTGCAGTGAGCCGAGATCACACCACTGCACTCCAGCCTGAGTGACAAAGCAAGACTCTGTCTCAAAAAACCAAACCAAAATGAAAGCTGCTAACAACAACAAAATCATTGACCAAGCTACTCTTCCCTTCTTTGTATTTCTACTGTGTGTGCAATTTGCAATGAAAGTTCAATATAGAATCTATTTGTATTTTTAAAAATTGTATTTCTTGCAATCTAATAAATGAAAAAAAGAAAAGAACTGTAGATAGGGTCAGTGAACTTCAGCGTAATATGCACACTAAGTAGTTTTGGTAGCTGGGTGCTGCGGTGGCTCACACCTGTAATCCTAGCACTTTGGAAGGTTGAGGTAGAAGAATCCCTTGAGACCAGGAGTTCAAGATCAGCCTGGGCAACAAAGCGACACTGTCTCTACAAAAAAAAAAAAAAAAAAAATTAGCCAGGCATGGTGGCACACACCTGTGGTCCCAGCTACTTGGGAGGCTGAGGTGAGAAGATCAGTTAAGCCCGGGAGGTGGAGGTTGTACTGAGCTGTGATCATGGCACTGCACTCTAGTCTGGACGACAGTGAGACCTTGTTTCAAAACAAACAAACAAAAAGAAGCAGTTTCATCTGCGAAACTTAAAAATATGCAAACATTGAGTTCAGATGTTTCTGAATTCTTCTTGACGCTGTCACTTCTGTAAAAGACAGGTCAGCTGGAGGTTCCTGGACAGGCATCCTAGCATCAAATACAGAACATATAGAAATGTCAGAGGAACAAATTACAAGATGTCCAAGTGAACGTGAACTTGTCTATCCCATGCTTTAGTGATATTCATAACCTCTGGCCCTGAAACAGAAGTTCAGGCAATTCACATTACCGGAAACCTCATTGTAGTCGATTTTTCTCCATAACTTCCTTATCATTTGGCTCTAAGTGTGAGGAGAAAACCGTTTACTAGAATGACTGCTTCTTTTTCTTTCAAGAGAAAACAAAATCTCTTTCATATGTTAGAAAGATAACGGTGACTTCACATATTGTACAAATCAAGACTTTGAGGCTATATAGGTTTATCTTATCTCAAGAGATGTGAACTGTTTTGAGAAAGAAAATATCACTTTTTATTGTCTTTAGTTGGTTCCTAAAGCATAATTCTAGGAACAGGACAGAAAAAAATACAGTGATCTCAGTGAGAATTCAAAAATTCTGCTTCTTTAAAATGAAGGGTTGGGTGTGGTGGCTCATGTCTATAATCTCAACACTTTGGGAGGTCAAGACAGGAGGACTGCTTGAACCCAAGGGTTCAGGACCAGCCTGGGCAACATAGTGAGATCCCATCTCTACAAAAAATAAGGCAAATTATCCAGGCATGGTGGCACGTGCCTGTAGTCCCAGCTGCTCAGAAGGCTGGGGTGGCAGGATAGCTTGAGCCTGGGAAGTCCAGGTGCACTGAGTCATGATGGCACCACTGCCTGGACAACAGAGTGAGACCTGTCTCAAAAATACAAAAACAGTTAGGCATGGTGGCTGGCACCTGTAATCTCAGCACTTTGGGAGGCCAAGGCAGGAGGATTGCTTGAGCCCAGGAGTTTGAGGCCAGCCTGTGTGACAGTGAGACTGTGTCTCAAAAAAATCCCACTAAAATTAAAAAGTCAAAAATATAAAAAAGAGATAAGGGTATAAAAATGGCCAACAAGCATCCAAGATACTCAACAACATTAGTCATTAGGTATATTAGTCCGTTCTCTCATTGCTATAAAGAATTACCTGAGACAGAGTAACTTATAGAGAAAAGAGGTTTAATGGTCTGATGTTTCACAGGCTGTACAGGAAGCATGGCTTGGGAGGCCTCAGGAAACTCACAACCATGGTGGAAGGCAAAGAGGAGTCAATGCCTTACATGGCTGGAGTAGTAGGAAGAGAGTGAAGTGAGAGGGATCACACTTTTAAACAACCAGACCTTATGAGAACTCACTATCAGGAGAATAGCAAGGGGGAAATTGCCCCCATGATCCAATCACCTCCCACCAGGTGCCTCCTCCAATACTGGGAATTACAATTCCACATGAGATTTGGGCAGGGACACAAATCCAAACCATATCTTTAGGGAAAAGCAAATGAAAACTACAGTGAGATACTAATTCACACATAGCAAGATGGCTATAATCAAGAAAACATAAAGTAGCAAGTGTTGATGAAAATATGGAGACACTGGAACTCTTGTGCGTTGCTGGTGAGGGTGTAAAATGACACAACCGCCCAGAGCAGTTCGGCAGTTCCTCAAAAAGTTAAACAGTTCTCCTAAGACCCAGCAATTCCATTCCTACATACCCCTGAATAATTAAGAATAAGAACTCAAACAAGAACTCGTAGGCTAATGTTCATAGCAGCAGGAGTTCTGAAAGCCAAACAGTGAAATATCACTCACTTCTATACAACGGAATGTTATCTGGATATGAAGTACCGTCACACGCTACAACATGAACATCAAAAACATTATGTTAAATGATAGAACCACACATAAAAGGTCATATATGATTCCATTTACACAAAATATCTAGAATAGGTAAATCTATAGAGACAGAAAACAGAATAGTGGTTGCCAAGGGCTAGAGGGAGGAGGGAACGGGGAGTAATTGCTTAATACGTACGGGGTTTCCTTTTGGGGTGATGAAAATGTTTTTTTCTTTTTGAGACAAGGTCTCGCTCTGTGGCCCAGGCTGGAGTGCAGTGGCATGATCATGGCTCACTGCAACCTTGATCTCCCAGGTTCAGGTGATCCTGTCACCTCAGCCTCCTGAGTAGCTGGAACTACATGCATGCGCCACCACGCCTGGCTAAGTTTTGAATTTTTTTGGAGACAGAGTTTTGCCATGTTGCCCAGGCTGGTCTTGCCTTGAACTCCTGGCCTCAAGTGATCCTCCCACCTTTGCCTCCCAACGTGCTGGGACTACAGGAGTGAGCCACCGCACTCAGCCAGTGAAAATGTTTTGAAATAGATAAAGGTGATGGTCACATGAACTCAGTGAATGTGATCATTGCTGTTAAATTGCGCTTTTTTTTTCTTTTTTTGAGACGGAGTCTCATTCTGTTGCCTAGGGTGGAGTGCAGTGGCACGATCTCTGCTCACTGCAAGCTCCGCCTCCCGGGTTCACGCCATTCTCCTGCCTCAGCCTCCCGAGTAGCTGGAACTACAGGCACCCGCCACCACGCCCGGCTAATTTTTTTTTTCTTTCTTTTTTTTTTTTTGTAATTTTTTAGTAGAGACGGGGTTTCACCGTATTAGCCAGGCCTGACCTCATGATTTGCCCGCCTCGGCCTCCCAAAGCGCTGGGATTACAAGCCTTGAGCCACTGTGCCCGGCCGAATTTTTTTTTTTTTTTTTTTTTTGAAACAGGACTTGCTCTCCTTTCTTGTTTCTCCCCAGCCTCTTTATGGGTGCGCGATAAAATAACACTTACCTACCAGCTTCCATTTACTTCCGTCCCTGCCCTGTCAGACCCGGTGGGCAAGATCCCCCGCCTCCGCGGCCCACAAACTGGAAGGTGCAGCGTCCAGGGCGCACAGCTCCCGAGTGGCAGTGGGGCTCATGCACAAGAAGGCCATCCCCGCACTAAGCTGAGGAGTTTCTGGAAGGTACCCTCTCCCTAGGTGCCGGCAGTGGCCGCGGAATGCGCCCGGGGGGACAGAGCGCATCATCAAGGTGGTTTGGCCACGTTGAGGCCTCCCCTGGCCTCCGTTCCCACATGCCCTGACCCACGGCGACCTTCGCTGGCGCCCGGTTTTCACCTAAGGCGTTAGCAGCAGCAGCTTTCAGCGCGTGCGCGCGCTCGGCTGTGTCCCCACCAGCGCTGAGCCAGCCAGGTGCGCGGTGGAGGGCGGGGCGACCCGGCAGGGGGCGTGGGGAAGGCCGCTGATTAACTACTGCATGTAACAGCCTCTTTACCTAAATTAGAAATTAAAGCCAGGACGCGCCACCCCCTGTGGGTCCCTGAAAAGTACAAAACTAAGTTGGGAGACAGTTCAAAGGCGCTTGCCTTGACCAGTGGCAGTTTTTGTTTCCCGCCCCCCGCACAGGCTACAGCGCTCGCGCTCGCCATTGGCTCCGGCGGGGGGTGAGGCCGGAAGCTGTGCGCGGGGGAACTTTGGGCTCAGAGCTCCAAGTTGCGCTGGGTGCGTCCTTGTGGTGCGGTTTCCTGGGGCTCTCTGGCCTCGCTTGCAGCCGTTGTGTAGGGAATTGCAGACAGCCATGGCCCCGGCCTGGCGCTGAGAGACCCTGGAGCGGCGTCTGACGGTGGTCAGCAAAGCCCCCGGCTGGCCCGAGTGCATCCTCACATAAGTGCGCAGATCCGGGGCTCGGGGTGCGACCGGGGTCTCAAGTGGACGCGGGTTACCGACCCCTGTCAAATTGTGTAGCTGGGGGAGGGTAAGCGGAAATGTAAATCACTTTCCCCCACATTTCAGAGTTTATACTTTCCTAGGCTATCAAAAATTAAAAAATTGTTTTTACATGTGGCTCTCCCAGTTGAATGTTATTGAAATCAACCTAACTTCAGTTATTAACGCCTAGAAGCTCCCCTTGAGGCTTATTTCGGCCCCCATCCCCCCCACACACAAACTGTGTTGGTTTCTCCTTCCGCCTTTGTGCTCCTAAAGCACTCAGTGTTTACCTGTCATCATGCTTCATTGAAAGTACAAACTTGTCACTTGTCTGTCCACCCCAACTAAGCTTCTTGAGAGTTAGAACTTTCATGTCTCTTCCCAGCACAAGCGTTTTATGTGCATTTTGTTGAAGAACTTCAAATATGATCTAAAAAATCATGACTCATTTGTATTCCAAACCCCAACCTCTCCCTTGAGTTCCCAGCTGACAGCAACTACAGACTGAGCTTAGTTGGAATTCAGTAGCACACATGGCTTTTAACGATTTTTAAAATTTTGGTACTCTCAGCATCGCAAATTCACTGTGTCCAAAATAGAGTAGAATGTTGTTTCTACCCACCTATACTCTGCCATCCCCTTAAGTCCTTTTCCCATGCTCCACCACTCAACCCTTGCCTGTTGCAGTAAATGGCAGTTATGTCTTTCCAGTTGCTCACACATAAAACTAGGCTGCTACTCTGATGTGTTCGTTTTTCTCTATTCTGTATCTAATTCCTTAGCAATCGTGTCAGTTCTACCTCCAAACAGTACTCAGTATATTCACTGCTCTAATTCCAGCTTAAATCACCATCATCCTTTTCCTGGAATGCTGCATCAACCTTCTAATCACTCTTTCCTCCTCTTCCTTCCTCCCTTCTTCCTTCGTGTAAATCATCATTTCATCCTTCTGCTTAAAATCTTCTCTTGTTTTCTTATTACACTTAAAATGGCAAACTCTTACCCTTGAGCCCTGCGGAATTTGGCTGCCATCAGTCTCTCCCACTTCACCTTCTGCCTCCTTCACACTCTAGCCCCGCTCACTTTTTCATTCCTCAGGCTTCCCAAGCTCAATTGCATCTTAGAGAATTTGTTCTTGCTGTTTCTTCTGCCTGGAATACGTGTTTCCCAATCTTTATAGGACTATCCTTACCTGTAGGTTTCATCTCAGATGTCACATCTAAGAGAGGTTTTCCTTGACCACTGTAGCCAAAGCAAATGTTGATCACGGAAGGAAAAAGGGAATGAATGAATGGAGTGGTGCAGAGTTGATAATTTAAGGCTAATTCACTACATATTTCCAAGCAAATCGATTTGTAATGCTTTTCCTGCCTAAAATTTATAAGCAGATTCACAAATACTTGGTTGACAGGTTTTAGATATCATTGTGGCTCATCAGCTTATATGTTGTTGGGGCCAGAATCTATACTTACACTTCATTCCAATTTGATTTTACAGAAGAGTTGGGGTTTTTATTTTTCTTTTAATTAAGAGGGCTGTGAAATTATTACCTATAACTCTGAATCTCGTTTAATTCCTCCCAATAGGATTCAAGATGGATTGGCATCAAAGTTCACTTCTTTAACAAAAGTGCTTCATGAGTTTAATCAAATATTGGAGAATGGTAGGCTCCATGGAAGCCCTTTACAAAAACTTGTGATAGGAAGTTTTGATGATGAACAGACTTTGCAACAACCTGAGTTGCAAAATGAACCAATTTTACAATGCTTCCAGAATGCAGTTAGTGAAACAAAGATGAAGATATCAGTCTTCTCCCAGGGAGTGAAGAACAGGAGTGTGAAGAGGATGATTCAGAGACAGAGGCTAGTGGCCAGGAGGACCTAGAAGATTTAGAGGAGGAGGAGGAAGTGTCAGATATGGGTGGTGACAATCCTGAAGTGAGTGAGAGAGCAAACTCAAGCAAATGCGATCTGAGGAAAAGCCCAGTTTTCAGTGCTGAGAATTCTGACCTTGACTTTGGTATCAACAAATTTGGAACAGCAGAGCAAGGTACAAAACAAAACCAAGAGAAAAGTCCACAGTAGACGAGAAATTCTTCCAACTCTTTGAAACGAAGGCTTATTTAGAAAACAGAGGAAAAGAAGAGGAATGAAAAGATGATGATGATGGTGAGGTGGACGATACTGATTGTTTTTTAAGATAGTGATTCTGATGAAGGTGAAGGGGGGCTGTTTGGAAGTAAAAAACTTAAAGTTTTGAGAGGAGAGAGCACATTTTTCCTCCTCAAATTAGCTTTTGTTCTGTTTTTCTAGGAGAGATGTAATTGTAGTTAGAAAATTTAGAGCTAAGAAATACTGTACTCTATCTTATCAGTTATAAATGAATCTGTACTTCCATTCAGTTTATGTTTCATTTGTTCCTCTAATAGTTTTATAGTAATGCTTTTAGTTGCCAATTTCACCTAATAACTATTTTTGGCTTATAGTATTATTAAGTTGGAAAGTAATGTAGACATACAGTATACATACAAATATATATGCATGTGTTAGTGATGTATTTTTCTATTCCTAATTAATAGTTTAAAAAATCTTTTTATTTTAGTCAGGTAAAAAAAAAAGTTCCAGAAATGTGAAGTACAAAGATTTTTTGGATCCAGTTGAAAGTGATGAAGACATAGCAAGTGATCATAATGTTGAGCTGGGTTCCAACAAGATGATGAAATTGCTGAAGAAGAAGCAGAATAACTAAGCATTTCTGAAATGTGAGTATTTTCAACCATCCTTTACAATGTGAGCTAGAATTGCCCAATTATGTATCTGTACTTGTGGTTTTCACATATGTTTGTTTTAAGAAGTTAGATTCTCTCCTATCAGATATTCTCAAGATAGCCAGAGAAAAGTCTCTGGATTTAAAGGGACATTAGAGATCAATTAATGAAGAAAAATATTACTGGCAGTAGCAATCAAACCTTTCTTACCAGGAACTTCGATTTGGTTTTGTGCCCCCAAAATCCTGTTATTTTTGTGAGATAGGAGGTTTGTATTATAGATTGATGAATAATTTATTTTCTATATATTGGACACTTTTTGTTCTGTTTCTCCATAGCATTTCACTGAAATGATACCTTCTCTTCCTTAATACCTGAATAATTTTGGAAGTTCTGAGTATTTGGTTGCATTAGGCGTATAAAAGAAGAACTTTATTAAGGGAAAATATGTTTCCTTTTGTTTTTCTAATGGAAAGCAGAATATTTCTTTTGATAAGAGCTTTGGTAGTGTAGGGATGAAGATGATGACCTGGAAGAAAGTGAAGACAGTAAACAATGTAAAGAAAGCTTGAAAAGAGTGACCTTTGCTTTGCCAGATGATGAGGCAACTGAAGATGCAGGTGTTTTAAATGTAAAGAAAAATTCTGATGAAGTTAAATCCTCTTTTGAAAAAAGACAGGAAAAGGTAATTAGGAATTTAAGGAAGTTTTAATATGCTTGACATGATTGTGGAACTCAGACTAACAAATATTCCCTATTTTTCTTTTTTCTTCTTTTTTTTGATGGAGTCTTGCTCTGTCACCTAGGCTGGAGTGCAGTGGTGCAATCTCGGCTCACTGCAGCCTCTGACTCCTGGGTTCAAGTGATTCTGCCTCAGCCTCCTGAGTAGCTGAGACTAGAGGTGCATTCCACCATGCCTGGCTAATTTTTGTGTTTTTAGAAGACATGGGGTTTTACCGTGTTGGCCAGGCTGGTCTCGAACTCCTGACCTCAGGTGATCCTCCTGCCTCGGCCTCCAAAAGTGCTGAGGTTACAGGTGTGAGCCACTGTACCTCAGCCTTCCCTATTTTTCTTATACCTATTAACCATTCTTTGAAAACAAATATCTTGGCCAGCTGTGGTGGCTTACGCCTATAATCCTAGCACTTTGGTAGTCTGAAACGGGAGGATCACTTGAGCTGAGGAGTTGAAGATGAGCCTGGGCAACATAGTGAGACCTTGTCTCTACAAAAGATACAAAATTGGTGGGGCATGGTGGTGTATGCCTGTAGTACAGCTACTCGGGTGGCTGAGGCGGGAAGACCACTTGAGCCCAGGAGGTCGATGCTGCAGTGAGCTACGATCACATCACTGCTCTCCAGCCTGGGTGGTGGAGCAAGATACTGTCTTAAAACAAACAAACAAACAGAAAACTGAAAATATTGCTGCTACTCTCTAAAGCAAAAGCACGCTATATAGAGATGCCACATGGAAAGATCTGATTTGCAAAAATCAGTGCCTGCATTACCCAGCCTATAGCTTTCAATGTGGGGACTGTGTGTAAAATGGTTGTTTCTTTTCTCTCTCCTTATGTCTTTATATGTATAGCATGTCTCTCCTGACAAAGCTGTCCTGAGAGCCTCTTGTAACTGTTTTCACTGCTCTGGAGGATACCGCCTGTGTCTTTAAGGTGCTCCACAG